AAAATATAACTGTTTTCAAGCTAAAAATGTTTGCACTACTTAAATATGTCCAAGAGTTTTGTGTTTTATTGGAGCAATTTAATTTACAAAGAATGCATTTCATTGTACTGTATATGGTGTTATATTTTACAGGTTGCTTTCTCTACTGATGGCATATATTTGTTTAGTTAGTGACGGGTAGAAGTTAGTATCGGCAAGTTTTATTACTGATATCCATAGCTGGTAATTATACACTTCTGTTCACATTGGCACAATATGCATTTGCACAGGAAAAATGTATACATGTAAACACAGTAATAGTTTTTCATATTTCCCTTCTGTCAAATAATAGTATTTTTGTTCTGCTGGGTATGTTAATGTGTAAAACATATGGAAGTCCCAAGTAGGTGTTTAAATTATGGGTGTGAACAAATGGCAGATAGACTTAAAAAAAGTCCCTTGCTTACACAGTTTTTGCTTTTGAAAGTGTTTTGTCCAAGTATGTTGAGATAGTGTAGCATCAGTTGGAGGTGTTCTGTATTTTTGCTGGAAGAGGAGAAAGAGTGATCAGAGATCTACTTGGGTAAAATGGATGGAAATTCTTATATATACACACACATACTTCATGCTTTTTGGCCATTTGTGAATAATGGATTAAAGACTCATGGTTGAGCTGGGGTACGGAGGGGCAGGGGTGTGTGATTAAACTTTGCTCTTCCCTACTTGCTACCTGTCCATCCAAATAACTATTGCTGTTTTGTAATGCCTTTTGTTGACACCAACTTTGAAATCATATGATAGAAGAGATAAGAATGATAAAGGAGGTATTGTTACTAAGGAAGTATAGCAGACCTAGTCCTCTTGCCAGTTTCATTTGACCTTGCCAGTGCAGTCTCTAGTCATAACTTGTAATTGATATCAACAATGATCTTAAGAACTATGTGAGAGGAAGTTCTCATTCCCACTAAGTTCAGAACAGGTCAAAAGCAGGCCAGCTTGGCTATTTTCTAGTAACTCCTAACGCCACATACCAATTGCTGAGTTAGTATAGGTGGTTGATCTTGGTGAAAGCCTTGAGGTGTAACAGTGCAAGAAGTTTTACTCAATATATAACCAACGAACGCTGTTTCTTGGAATGTTGATTGTAACATGAAAAAGAGAATAGCTAGCTCTAATCTTAAAAATCCTTCACTGAGTGAGTGTTCATGTCCAGGAGCTGATTAGGATTTCACAAATTGAAAAAAACCATGGAGCAATTAGAAAGAGAAAGATAAAAAATAATAAAAAGAGAAAATGAATGAAAAGTGGAAATGAATTCAGTAATTTTTTAAAGCAAAACCAGGAGTTACAGATTTGGAACAAAACAGTAGTTAGAGATCTGGAACTGGTTAATCACTGGTGTTTGGTTCAGACATGGGAATATAATGGTGATACCAGCACATATATACAAAGATGAAATCAAAGATTGGTTTTACACTTAGTTATAAACAGATTGGACTCATAAGCTTGAATATGTGGTAAAAATAGTGGATTTTAAAAGGGAGATTGAGCGGACCACTATAGGCAAGCCTGGCACTAGACACTCAAAAAACTGCAGTAGTGGTAAAACTGTGCCTGATATCCAGGTTTGCTATTTCTGGAACAACTTTTTTTTTTCTCAAAATTGTTAATGTAACTTGAAATTCTATAGGCAAATTTTAAAAGTCAGATTATCAATTTGTGAAAGATTTAATAAAGAGATTCATATGTGAGAAGGGTATACTTCATGAAGTTAATGGGGAGATTTCAGAATTGTTCCAAAATCACATGTGCTCTAAGAAGGAATTGGGCGCTCTGCCATGGCAAGCATGATATTGGACATGCAGCAGAGCACTTAGGCAGTCCAGCCAGAAAATTCTCTCCAAATGCTGTTTAGAGAGAGAATTTAAGGAATTTAATGGCATAAGATTTGCAAAAGAGCAGCCTGGGCTATGCAAGAATCATTAAACCTTCATTTGTACTTTGAAATGTTTAAAGAGCAAGAAGTATACAAGTGGATTAATTTTTTTTTTTAAATTAGCAATTGAAAAGACTTAAGTAAAAGAGTGATTATTGTTGCTGCCTAACTGCAGTAGTATTAGTGTGTTTATAAAAGCACATAATCAAAAATATACTCAGTAGAGAGTTAGTTACGAAACCAAGACAGGCAAACTGAAAATGGCAGATGGACACTGAATACAGGTACTGGGGATGTTGTTACTGGAAGGGTTCCTATTTATGACTTCAGTGAACTGCCTGAGTCCATAGCTTCTGTGCTCTGACTTCTCTGTGTTTCTGCTCATTTTGCTTAAGATTCTTGAAAAGTAAAAATTTTATCCAGAGATTTCATTTTAAAACTATAATTAGAAATATGTGCTTATGTGGACTTTGTAAAGGTCCAGGTAGCATACATATGCTTTTCTTAAAATTGTTTTCTGATAGTCATTTCTGTGCATAACCCAAATATGTACTTGAAGTTCATATTCTTAATTACATTTCACAGTTTTACACTGCACCTTTAAATGAATACATTTCCTTTTTATGCTCTCTTCTTTTTCCTTAGATAATTATGCAGTTTTGTAATCTGCATATGGCCTCTTTTTTTAATTGAATAATTTGCTTCAAACAGTGAGATGTTCAAATGTAGTAGCTAGTATGAAAGTCCATGTAATTATTGGTAACTAATTGTCTTATGATTGGTGCATTACCAGTCTGTTTTGAATGCTTTTAATGCAGATGTGTTTTGAAAGTGTTCCATTAATTTGTTTCTGTAGAATTGCACTAGGGGACCTCTGAAGATGCACAGAATTAACCCACACTGTTGCTTAGCTCAGTGTGAGAACATGTCCTTCTGCTTGTGCTGCTCTGTATTTTCTGCTCCTCTTAAAAGATAGCTGACAAGAACTGTTTAAAAATAGCAGGCCAAGGGCAGGTGACAAAATGTCACGCAAGCAGCACCTGGTCCAGTGACAGCCTGGAGGGAGGAAAAAACGAAACCCAGATGTCGCAGATACGATTCTATTTCTGAAGCTAGTCAAACAGCAGAATTTTCAGCTTCAGCAAAGGAAAAGACAAGGGCCCATCCAAGCATTATGCTTTCAAATTTTACTCTAGCTTTTTCATAGTAGTTCCATTTTTTTCTATTGCAAGTATTAGTTTACAAGTATAGATTATTATATACACCTTTTCTCTTTACAAGTAACATTTGTAACCTTGTGCTCATTAATATGCTGTTAAGGAAAAGGGAATTAATCACAACCTGGCAAGATTTCTGAAATATTTTAGCACAAGCTTACACTAATGGAAATAATAGCAGCTTTAGTGTGTCTGCAGTACCAGATTAATGTGGAAATGGTATAGGAGAATTACATCTGTAATTAGGAAATCTGAAGTAGTTAATGAAGATCTCCTTAAGAAGCTTTGCTAAAGGAGTTAGAAGGTAGAAATGAAATTTTTATTTACCTTCCTTCTGCCCCCACTTTTTTTCTGGAGGTGCTGTTTGCTTCATAGTCTTATTGTAGGGGTGCTTTTTTCCTAAAAGAATGAGAAAATTATAATGTGAAGAACATGTATTTGCTTTTCTTAAGCTGCTTGTGACTTAGTTTCAGAAGTGTCCTGAAACTTATTGTTGCATCTGTTTAGAAAGAATATTAATTACAACAAAGTATTAATTACAGTCTCTGTGACTGGAAATAGAAGGCTTTAACTTATTGATAGGAACTAGAAATGTTGGAGTAGATTGGCTTTAGTTCTGCTTTGTCAAAGCTTATTTGTTAAAACTTGGTTTTGCAGAAGTATGGAAGAGAATTTATATTACAGGAACTTAGTGGTTCTGTTGGTTCTTTAGTATAGCGAGTGGGTCTTGCGCTCCTCTATTTGAGTTCCAATGTAGTGAAGAAATGTAAACTGCCTTTTTCCTTAGCTCCCAATTTAGGCACAAGTCTAGAGATACCAGCAGTGTATGACATGGATTACAACACTTGTAAGTAACTTAAGTTACTTACATTACTTAATTGAAATAAATTGTTATGTGGCTATAACGATCCTTTTATATCTTTTTCCAAACAATGGCTAGTATCAATTACAGTTTACAAATTATTTCCAGGAGTTTAATTACAAAAACACCGTTACAAAGTTTCTTCACGGTAAGTTTTTAATAGTTCAGCTCAGTTAAATAGTATCTAAAACTAATCTGAACAGCAGTAGACTTGGCTCATCTCTTGCTTTGACTCCTTTGAAACAAGGTAACTGTGTGTGAATTTGTTCCCACTTCCAGTTCCTGAAGTTATCAGATCTTAAGCCAACCTTTCAATTGTTAAATCTCACCTGAGAAACTTGGTACTGTTTTGCATCTCTCTAGCTTCCTGCAAACTTACACCAGCAGAGTTCCTTTGAATTTCAAGGTGAACCTTCTGTATATGATGATCCCATATTATGTGTCAAGAATAAATATTTTCAAAGAATGTATGTACTCCATGAGAACAACGCTCCCTCCAACCCAATATCTTATCTCAAATAGTAAGTGATAGCAGATTCTTAGGGAAGAATACAAAACTGAGTAAGCACTCTGTGTCCAGTGATCTGTTAACTTGGGAGCTTCTGATGTCACTGGTCGTATGGAAAACAATGATTTATTTTTACCAGTCAAATGGAGTTTTTGTAATGCTATACTCGTTATTTGAAGCCTACTATAAATGGCATAATTGCAGCAAGGTTGAACTCTGAGACCTTATGTTGAAAGGGTAAATGTAATACTTTCCTAGTACAAAGGGATGTATTTAAAAAAAAATTCATTGTTTATTTTGTGATTTTCAGTATTTTAAGTACATAACACTAAAGGTACTATGGTGTTAAATACCTTAAATGTGTATTATTGGGAAGTTGTCTTCAGTAGATGGCTACCCAGACTGTTCATCCCCTTTAGCAACTTTTAATATTAATAACTTTAATTCAGTTTTGAAATAAAAACACTAAAAATAGCTTTTATTTACATTGCAGGGCGTATGGGAATAAACTTCCATCATCCGGGAACAGACAATATTATGGCTCTTAATAGTAAGTAGTTGATACCTAATGACTAATATGTCCTAATAATATTTTAACACATCATGCTGAATATTATTTCTTACATTTATTGTGTACATAGCTGTACAGTGAGACATAAATATGTGTAATAATAATATTTGCATAGAAGTTTATGTGTACTATCTTAAAATGATTTTCATAGATCAATAATCTCTGATTTTATTGGTAGAATTTGTGATTCTTTAGATTAGCTTTATATTAGCTTTCTGTGTTCCACTGGAAGCTTCATAATGCCTGTTATAGGTAATACTGCAAAACAGTCTCTGTTGTTCCCTCATTAGGTGTGTTAGACCTACAACATTAATTTCTGAAATCTCTCCAAATATATTTCTTCTTGTTGGGATGAGCTGTTACAAGTTCTGCATACAATTACATTGGCTGATGGAGTTTACATTGCTGGTTTCCCTAGAACATGATGTAGACGGGACTGGAGAGAATGTTTAGACATCTAAATGATGAGAAAAAAGTGTGGGGCTGAACTTCACAGGAAGATTATTGCTTTTGTTTGTGTTGGAAAAATAAAAATACATTTTTATGTATGTAAAAATACATAAAAATAAAAATCCAGTCGTGACCATATGCATTCAAAAAACCTGCCAAAATGTATCTGGAAACTCTAGAGATCCTCGTATTGTATAGTGGGGAGGTGGGGGGTGTTAGACACCACCAGCGTGATGTAGAACTGAGCTATGCAGATCAAATCATAGTTTTGATCCATCTAATCCTAAGAAACACTATTTTGAAATGTCTGTTTTTGCTTACAATCTTGTATTAGAGGTGTTAGGATTACTTTACTGATTTGTCTAAAATTATTTGCTTTTGCACTGTTGGTACAAGTAATACTGTGTATAATTAAAACCAACAGTTTTTTGTGTAGTACCAAACTGAATTTAAAAATAATTTATAAACGTGAAGAATTGATAATTTGTAATAGACAAAATGCAAGTGTTTTAACATTTGGCTTTAAATGCCAGCTTTTTGGAACCTAGAAGGCTTCACTTGTGCTCTCTTAGTTTTACACTATTAATGATGAGGTGATATTTCGCAGAGTTTCTGTTGTCATAGTTAGCATATATGCCCCATTTTCTTATGGGCACATGAAATTATGGGAAATCAAGTAATTAACTGGGAGAAATACTCAATTTAGTTAAAGATTTTATTAAAAAAGGAAGCTGTTCATGTGAGTGTGTGTGTGCAAATAAGCTCTGCACAGTAGAGTGCTCCTGTTTGACATGAGTTCTGATCTCAATGCATTTGTTCGAATGTGGGCATTTCAAAAAAGCTGATTGCAATAGTAATATAATTGTGAAGATGGGAGATTATGATTGAATTTTGAGTTATTTGAAAAATTGAGAGTTACTATGGAATATACAGCAGTATTTCTTACAGAGTCTTACAGAGATATTTAAAAGGCAGGAATGAAAAATGATACAAAAAGCTATACCATATGCTGTACTGTATCAAATCAGGGTTGTTTCATTTTGGGACAACTCACTTTTATCTTAAGTAGATGAATATATTCTATTCTGATTTCTGTCATTGCTAGATATACTTGTTTAAAAAGTTACCTTTTTAACGGAGATAATATTTAAGAAAATACTTCTTCCTCCCTAATTACTTTAAAATTTTTACAGTGGGTATATAATCTGGTTGTTTATAAAAAAATAATGATCCTTTGCAGCTATAGTCCTCGTGTATGGCTAAAAGATTAGTATAACTAACCAAGGGACCTAATAAAAATATACTTATGCATTTCCAGTATTTAAAATATTATGGGTTTATTGAAATATTAACTGTTTTCAGACTTACATAAACCTGGAATCTTAAATATGCAATTTGTGCAAAATAGTAGTGATCATTCTTTTGAATGAAATTCAGTGCAAATCAGAAGTCTGGATAAGTTCCCATATATTTTCCCTCTCCTGTATCTCTTTTCCCTCCCATTCTTTACTAGGCAAGGCCACACCTTTTTTGGGCACTACTAAGAGCCCAGAAGCTAGAATTATTGTACTGTGAAACCTGTTGGTTTTTACTCTTAAATCTTTGAAGAGCTGAGAATAAAAGCAAATATTCAAGTGTATAAGCTTAAAAATTACTTTCTGTGATTTAAATCAGCTCTGGAGATTTATACTAAATGGGAAAATATACTAAGGAAAGTTAGTCCAAGAAGAAATATTCTTTTCTGTGCTAGAATGGTTGTGGTTTGGAGTTAAAAAAACCAAAAACAAAACCCAAACCCAACCAAAACTACAAAATAAGTAAAATAAAAAAATAGAATAAAAATTCCCAAAATATATTTAATCTCAGTAATTTTTGGAGCAATTTGGAGAACTTATGTAACTTCTTTAAATCATAATACTTGTAATATCTATATATAATTTCTGTGAAACCAAACCCTGCTGAATCTGTAAATCCAACCTTCACATTCTATTTTTATTCATTGCTACATAAGCATTTTTCTCTCTTACTGTGAAGACACAGTAATAATCTTTATTACTCAAAGCTCAATTTCTCACTAACATTGTACACAATCTTTTGAAGCTGGAAGGTAACACAGGCTCATGCCAACAGTAATGCAAAACTTTACTTCACATGTTGTAGGGAGAGAGGAAGTTCGTCTCTCTAGCTCTCGTCCTTCATGGCAACACTTTCAACAGTGCTTTAGCTGGTGTTCTTATTTATTGGTTACAACCTTGTGAAACTAGAGATTTGCCTGACTGACTGTCTTGAAGTACTGTCTGTAAATGTTGAAGGGGATGGTTTGGTTTGAGGGAAGGTGTTACTTGCTTAGTTGGCAGGGCTTAGCGCAGGGCGTACTGCCACCATTTTGTTCATCATTGTGCAAAGCTATAAATCATCATCATCATCTCAAAGCACTGAGTTCTGAAATAGTAAAATTAGTGAGATAGAAGAAATTACTTTAAAGTGCATAATTATTATTAATCTCTTAGTCATTAATGGCATTGTGCTTGTGTACATACACACACAGTTGCACACGTGTATAAGCAGGTTTATAATGTAGAGGTTCTTGAAGTTCTCTATCAGAATTAGGCTTCTATTGAGGAATGCAATATTCAAATTTTCAGAGAGATCTGAGCATAATCCTACAGAACGTTTAAACAAAAGGAAGATGCAAATATTTAATTTGAAACATTATGCAAAGGGAAAGAAAAAAAAAAGCTATAGCTTTTGTCTATACTAGTTCCACTTGAAATTTCTCTAATTGAGGTAGTGTTTTTAGTCAATAAGTGACATATGTTTGTTAACTTTTTAATAATGTCATTCATACTGAGCTAAATAGTGGAACAATTTTTATAAACATTGATCTACAGCACCTTATTAAATACAATTGATAGTGTAATTTCTAGTGGAAATGTGGCATAAATTGAATTATTGATTTTATGTATTTGAATTCGTGTATGAACTTAAAGAGAAACCATATATTGATGATACTTTTAGTAGATGTTTGCGATCTAATTAAAAGGTATGCTTACAATACTAAACAAAATCTGAAAATAAATTAATTTGCCAAAATTAACTCAAAGGTGTACTCTATCCCCTTCTCTTGATAGCATTCACTTCCATTCACAGCCATACATTTCTGTAGTAGTTGCTCTGTTTGGGGGACACAGGATGTTCTCTTGAGTTAATATATGCTCCTTTTTAATTAGCTATATAAATAGGACTAAATGAAAATGCTAAGTAGTGAGCTATCTTTAGTGCTTCTTGTGATGTCCAGAAAGTTAACAGTAAACTTCAGTGGGAGAGAAGTGTAGCAGGTGAAAAAGGGAGACAGGGAATAAAAAAGGGTGTGTGATTTTTCTAAGGAAGCACTGAACTGTATTGTTGAGATCTCAAACAAACTTCTGTAAAATAAGTTTAGACTAAAAGTAGTTAAACCAACAAATGAGGAAAAATGTCTTTGTGAAATGCTGGAATTTTGTTTTTCCTAAAGCTCCTCTGTACCCTGACTTTGCACTGCTGTTGGGCTTCACATGTTCCATCTGCTTCCAGTGTTCATTCTTGTCTCATATGAAAATTTGTCATCTGTGAGGCTTGGTACTGTTTGCTCTCCATCTGACTGCCTCTTCTTCTTTTTATTAGTGTCACTTAGTTCTGTTTGTTCTGAAAATTTGAAAAATACATTAAGACAGGGGTTTGGGGCACCTTTTTAGATGTTTGTGTAGAGATTTTTTTTATTATTTATTTTAAATACTATAGATAATAATTATGTGAGGAAGTCATCATGCCATGACAGAAAATGTAATGGCAGCAAAACAATTTCATTTTTTTTATTTTCCTGCTTCTATTGGTTTTTAAATTGCCTTGTCTCCTTAAGAGCTATTGTACTTGGCTCTTCCTGTATTCTGATGTATTACTTTCAAACACATATCGTGTTTAGATATAACCAAGTTGCTGAAATAGCATTTTATATTTAAATCTTTTGCCAACACTATTGGTATAGCTTGAACTGAACCACTCTGAATAGAAAGTTTAGTGAATTATTTTTGCCTTGCAAAATCTTTGATTGGCAATGTAATAGCTAATAAAAGCTTGATTTTTTTGTAGTGATAGTCTTGGAAAATATACAGCTAAATTTTGAGAGGCATCAGTCTCTTCTAATGGTTTGGTACTTCCCTTTAGGAATTTGCTGAGCTCTTTAGCCCAATTGCCAAGTTGGGTTACTAATGTGTTACTAGCTTATTAACATATAAGGAATAATATAAAGGAATAAAAGACACTGAGAGACCGAAGAAGGTTTGCAAAACTGGACCCGATTTAATTGTGAAGAGATCAGAGTTTATTTAACTGGAGGGAAAAATTAACGATGTAAAGTGTGACATAGCAAAGGCAGCAGGGTTCATAAGAGTCCCAGAGTGTGTGAACTGTCACTTTATACATAACCTTGTTAAGTTTTTCAGAACCAGCTGCACAAACAGTATTGATGCTGCCTTAGGCCTGTGGGGTGG